TGTGTGTGTGTGTGTGTGTGTGTGTGTGTGGGTGTGTGCTGTGTGTGTGTGTGCTGCTGTTGTGTGTGGTGTGTGTGTGGCGGGTGGTGTGTGATGTGTGTGTGTGTGGGTGTGCGGTGTTTGTGCGCGGTGGTGCAGTGCGTTGCGTGCGTGGCGTGCGAATGTGCGTGTGTTAGCTGCGTTAAACAGGAAACATCTATCATTGCTTAACGGCAGCAATCGCCTCTCTGTATGATCGAAACATCGACACGTCTATGCGTTTTGAAATCGTCGAAGTCCCGCAAGCGTTTAAGTCAGGCTCAGAATTTCACAAATATACACATTCTGACACAACACCACCAGAGGGGAGTTCACGAACAACAGATAGAAGAAAGATGGGCTTGATTTGGCCATAAACGCAAACGTAACACTGGCGTGATTTGGTGGTTCCGACTCACAACAGCAACTAAGAATGACCGGAATATAGTACGAATCTGTCCGGATCTGGATCGAAATTTGGAACGAAGTAATTCGTATGCTGTGCTGTGATCGGTGACAGTATCTCCAATATATATATATTGTGACTATATCGAATATAAATTTTTTCGAGGATAAAGATAAACAGAATTTGAACAGAATTTGATTGCGAAAGATCGAGTGGAGAATGACACGGCAGCGTGTAATGATACGTCAATAACAACTGGGGATCGCATGCAACTCAAACAATACAACAACAACAACAACAACACAACAACAAACAACAACAAACAACAACACAACCCAATCAAACCAAACGCCTACGATAACAGATGCTCGATGCTAGCGCCACCAAGCACACGTCGCAAGCGACAGTTCAAACGTGAAACTACCACACCACATGGATCCGCATTCGCCAGTTCACATTCACACGCTCACCCGCACTCACACCGCACAATTTCGTCCGCGCCGCGCCGCACACACACACACAGCACACACACACCACACACACACACACACACACACCACACACACACAACCACACACACACACACACACACACTAACGCACGGCGCACGCACGCGCACGCACACACACACACACACACACACCACACACATACACGCGCGCACGCACGCACACAACACAACAGCACACGCAAACACGCACACGCACACGCAGCACAGCACCGGCCGCACGACACACGACAACACACACACACACGACACACGACACCACACACACACAACAACACACAAAACACAAAAAACATAAAACATAATTATATATCAATATTTATATATACAAGACATTAGTATCACAGATGTATTATATATATAACGTATATATCAAAAAAATATCTTATCTATCTATCTATATATACGTATATATAATAATCATAACATTTCGAGAAACCCTACCCTGGTATTATATCCTTGATCTCCGGAGCTGAGATCCGTACCACCACTGCAACAACAAATAATTCCAACACATTATTTTGCGAATTATATTTATATTACAGCGTACACGCCGAAAGTGTAGAAAGGCTCATGCAGTATCTCAATATGTTTACATCGTTATACGTTGCTGTTGACGGTGTAGGATGTGTTACACTGTGCTACTACAACAGTGTGTTTCTTGATTTTCCTTTTTTATTTTTGTTTCACATAACCCCCCATTTCCGACTAAATGCCCAATCCGCAATTATCCGACCAACGCCGCGCGTATAGGATCGGATTATTGAAGCACAACACTATATAATATGAGTCTAGCAGGAGCTAATAATGACGAAATGTTTTCGTAATTTTTAGTAATTTTTTGTCATTATTAGTTCTGCATATATATTATATATATATATATAGTATATGATAATATAATATATTTAGAGTAAAACATACGGAACCCAGGGCCTATATATTGATGAAATTATATGTCGAATATCAAAATAGAAAAAGGCGTCCGCATTTTTAATTAGAGACATTATTCTATTTTTATATACCACAATATTTTTCATATATATATATATATATATTATATATATATATTTATATATATATACTTATCTATATATAATCGTTAGTGCGGCGAGCAATATATACATGTCTCCTGCTTGCTAGAATTTGGTCAAGGATGTAGTTGGCATCCAAGGCACTTGAAGCCGTTTCAGATAAAATATAATGCTAATAAATACGAAATCTATTTCCTACCAAATTCTTAATGTTTCTATACTCTCTTTCACGCTAGTATTATTGCGACAGCTTTCCTGATAATCGTTCCAAATACCTATGCTACAACAATGGCGGCCGGCCAGCGTCTATGTTGTACATAGGATTTGGAAGGAATTTACAGGAAACTGTGGCAATATATACTAGGCTGAACAGAGAGTATAAAAGATTAAATTTGCGGTAGTAAATAGATTTCGTATTTATTTTAGCAATCTAGATTTTATTGAACGCTTCGAGTGCCTGTGCGTTGCATCATATTGCTGTTACCCACGCGCACTATATGTGTTACGGCGATTATGGTAGCCGCGTTATTTCCACCAGCCTGCCTGCGTCGCAGACGCTGTATATTCCACCACGCGAGACCCTTTATGTAGCTCGCGCATTTTAATGAAACGATTATTCAACAGCTTCAACGAGGGTTGCGAGATGCCGGATGCGCCTGGAATACTAATGCCGCAGGTAATGCGCGCGGCGGACCAATACATGCGAGGATAAAGTCAAGAAAGGAGCGGAGAGTACCGCACAGAGAGAGAGGGAGAAGAGGGGCAGAGAGAGAGAGCAAGAGGGCGAGAGGGAGAGAGAGAGCGAGAAGAAAGCAGCAGAGAAGGAAGAGGGGAGAGGAGAGAGAGGGGAGCGAGAGCGAGAGAGAGAGAGAAAGAGAGAGAAGAGAGAGAAGACGAGAGAGAGAGGAGAGAGGAGAGAGGAGAGAGAGATGAAGACGAAGTGTGTGGTGTGTTGTGTGAGTGGCTGTGGTTGTGTGTGTGTGTGTGTGTGGTGGTGTGCGTGGTGGTGTGTGTGCGTTGTCGTGTGTATGTGTGTGTGGTGTGTGGTGTGTGTGTGTGTGTGTGTGTTTGTGTGTGTGTGTGTCGTGTGAGAGAGAAGAGGAGAGAGAGAGTGTCGACGAGAGAGAGAGAGATGAGAGAGAGGGAGAGAACGACGAGAAGAGAAGGAAAAGAGGTAACTCCAAAGAATACCCAAGAAAATTGCATCGGGCGACCATAACTTATTATGTATTGGCGTTAAGCTTCGCAGCTTAGGTCCGAGCTTAGAGAGAACAAAACGAAGATTACCGGGACAAGAAGAGAGAGAGAGAGAGATGAGGCAAGACGAGGCGCGAGAGGGAACAGTGATGTAGAAAAGGGTGAAAGAATGAGCGAATTGAAATAGAAGAGAGAGATCGAGAGTCACGAGCGAGCGAGACAGACAGACAGCTGAGGAAAGAGAGAGCGCGCCACGAGAAGAGAGAGAGAGAGAGACGCAGGAAAAGAAGAACAAAGAGGGGCCGAAGAGAAAGAGAGAGAGAGAGAAAGAAGAGAGAGAGAGAGAGAGGAGAGAGCGAGCGAAGGAGGGCGCATTCAGTCTCTGTCGTTACTCTGGCGCCTACGCAAAACACGCACAGGCCATAAAGGCTATTGGATTTCCACAACACTGGTTGCCATTAATGTACATCGAATAAATTGCTTCGAATATTAAAATGCTGATTTCTCAAATACGTCCCAAAATATTTAAAAAATAGGTGGTAAAAAATATGTGTACCTATTTGGCGGATATACTACTAATAACACTTACGTGGAATCACCAATGATTTACGCTGCTTATAAAAAAATAATATCGACATAGATATAACGTCATATTAAAGTTAACTCCAATCTAAATTCCAATTTCAACATTGCAATTTATGTCTCTCTGTCACACTTATCACATCCCGTCCCTGATGACAGGCATATCTCCGCCTATATTATTAAATTATTATTTCTTGTTGTTATTGTTTTACTATCATCATTATGATATGATATATATACGTTATATAATATATATATATATAATATAATCTAATATATATTACTATATATATATATATATATAGCAGGCAGGCGTATAATGACAAATATACGTCATTTCTGTCATTATTGTCATTTTGTCATATTTGTCATTATCGCTCCTGATATATATATATATATACGTTATACGTATACTAATTCTAAATCATATATCAGTATATATAATACACTTGCCAATAAACCATCGCACACACAAGCGCGCGCACACGCGTGCACACGCACACACATATATATGCATATAAAAAATAAAGTGGTAATCATAAATTTATTGTTACCTCTTGACAAAATCTATACATTGAATTAAATCTTTATGGGGAAATTAGAAGGGGCAAACCTATATACACTCACGTTACGTGATGCTAAACCGCTTGCGTTTTTCGATGCCACAAGAGGGCGGTACTGTGTAGTAGAAACTAACGTCCCCTATTTATATAAACTCATCGTGAACATCTTTTACACTCTCATTTCTCCGCAACCATGCGAGAGAGATTGAATTCGACCATTCTGTAACAACACCACCAGCCCGACACCTGCGCCCTCTTGCGCCCATAAAAGTGAATATTTTCGCTGGCGACCAGACGATAGTAAGAGTGGAGCGCATACGGCGGCAGCGTGTAATGTGAGCCCGTTTGTTTGTGACAGCCACCAATCTAACGGTATCTGCCGCGTTCCCAGGCAAGACGCGGACGAAGGACAAATACCGCGTAGTCTACAGCGACCACCAGCGGCTGGAACTGGAGAAGGAATTCCACTACAGCAGGTGAAGAACGACGTCGGCGGTTTGCTACGCATCAAAAATGATTCATCCGATTGGTGATGATCGATTAATTAATTGCTCGTACCGAATCGACCGGGGATGGGGGGGGGGATTTTTGGCGAGCGACGATGCCGTGGAGTTGATTGATCTTCATGTTTTGATTGATTATCGTTCATGGTCTTTTCGGCCGGAGCGTGGTACATGTGTGGGTGAAGGAATGGCAACGTAGCATGTCATTGGAGAGCGCGTGAGATTGAGTAACCGCGAATGTATGCAACACGGATTCGGAATGGCGGTGTACGGTGTGGCGAGTAAGCGAGGATCAAAATGGATAGTAGGAGCAGACGGGGTTGGGTGGGGGTTGGACGTTTAAAGCAACGGGTGAGGGTGGATCCGGTGGGAGCTAAAGAGGCGACGTGAATCAATGGGAGAGGGAGGAGATTGTGAGAGCAAAAGGGGATAGAATGCAACGGGAGAGGGTGAATAGAGTAAAATATGAAGCGAAATGAAATTAGCTGTGGAAGAATGTAAGAAATTATGGAGCCCTCCCCCCCCAAAAAAAATGGGATGGGGCAAAGTGATAATTGAGAGAATGGGAAACTGGTAGCTGGAAGGAAGTGATGTCAGTTTGATGACAAATGTCGTTTCCCACCTTGCAGGTACATCACAATAAGACGAAAGGCTGAGCTAGCGCAGGCGTTGCAGCTCTCAGAACGCCAGGTAAAGATCTGGTTCCAAAATCGACGAGCTAAGGAACGCAAGACGAACAAGAAGAAAGACGAAATCGTCTCGAAAAATATCGGCGATCAGCACCAGCAGGTGGCGGTAGCGTCGCACGCACAATTGCACACGCAACATCATCACCACTTGTAGTGAAACCGAGTTTTATGCTCACGGTGGAAGGACGAGGTTTAAACGATTCGTATGAGACCTGAAAGATATTTGTATATTCATCGCAAACGCAACGTTGACTCGTATTAACTGAACTTCGGGGAGTGTGGCCAGCAATTCTTCTGTGGCTATATTGAATATTCGCGGGTGTGGTGGCATCACAGGTTTTTCTGTCATTCGTGTATTCGCATGTTAGCGTATTCCCTTCGAACCACTTTGCTCGACTGGCTTGTGAAACAAGCATAGATAAACCCACCGAATGATCTACAAATACTTTCCATATCTAAAACTAGAATCACTTCAATATGCGTTCGTACACCGTTTTTACTCGTATACTACCAGGGACAATGTATATATTATATGAAAATATAAGAAACGATCTTTTCGTTTAATATAAAATAATATATATATATATATATATTATATTATATTAAATACAGTTCTATACATTGTCACTATTATTTATCTATACCCTTTTTAAAATTGTATCGAAGTGATTAGCCACTTTAAGCACGTCTTGTTAATATCGACCTATTTCCTTATATGATGTTGATTTCATAAAGTTGGCCGACAAGTCACAATGGCTCACGGCGACTAGCTGGAAATATCCGTGTAAACTACTGCCAAGAGAGGTAGCTTCTGAGAAAGGAAACCTGGGAAAAGGATGTCATCTTATCATGTGCGAGAATTCTAAATGATTATACAGTGATTGTAGTCATGGTAACGGCAGGGCTACGATGTGACATGAGTAAGGTTTGAAGCATGGGGGGGGGGGAGAATTCCGATCCGGGATTTTAAGGTTTTAAGCGATTCGAAAATCGTATGCGTCAAGTATAGTTACTTAAGTTCAAATTTAATCAATTAACTTTAACGTCAGTTATTCACTTTAAGCCGGACTGCGAGGTTTTATTTAAATTGCGGTCGCATTTTGTTCCCATTAAAATGACGCGAAAGTCTTCAGAGTTAAGTGACACGCGTCGTGCGTTCGAATTACCACTAATAATAAGGAGAGAGAGAAGTTGGGGAGATAGCGAGAGACCGCGCGCGCGAGAGAGAAAAAGAGAGAGAGAGGGGGAGAGGGAGAGAGAGCGAGAAAGAAAGAAAAAGAGAGAGAGAGAGGGCGAGAGA